CTATCCCCAACTTCATGAAAGAAATTTGACGTCCGATAATCTCCGATACCGTGCAACCTCCCCCCTTCTTGACGGTCGATATTCTACCACCGCCGGCAGTTTTTTTCCCCTGAACCCTCCAAACCATGAAAACCACCATCAATTATATTTTTATCCCTTTAGCTCAGGAGTTTTTTTCACTGCTGGTCGGATTTATGTTGAATCGCTTCCCTTGACAATGCCTGTAAACTGGCATTTAATAAATTATTATAAAAATGACTTATTATTCATTGGCTCCCTGAATCAAGTGCAAATACTTCCAAGGAGCGGGTATCGGAAGACCTATCACTCTTCCAAGGTCTTCTCAATAATATTTTGGAACCCACAGAGGCTATTGAAGTGATCAAAGTCTTCCGCCTTGGAAAACGAGCAGATAAACTATCAGCGTCGATTCTTCCCCGGCCTCTTAAAGTTGTGCTGACCAGCAGCGTCTAAGCCAGTCTCATTCACTCCAGGCGATTCAGGATGAAAGGCTCCAGCCCAGGTGTTTTTTTCAACCCGACTACTCGCCAGCGGAACGGCTCAAACGTCGTCAGCAAGTTCTAGAACTAAGAAAGAGGCTCAACGAGTAAGAGAACAATTCATTTATATACAACAACCAAGTACGGCGACGTACGTCACCCTTCCTTTGGACAGGTCCGGTCCGAATGACCGCGCAGCCGACACATTAAATGAAGGCGCTAACCAAAATGTAACCACGTCTTCCGTCAGCCGGAAATTGAATTTCCTGCACACCAACAAGCAGAGTTTGCTATAAAAGTTCGACGAGCTGAAGATCCACCTCTGCGATCTATCCCCTGACGTAATCGCTTTAACAGAAACCTGGGTGACCCAACACGTGGACGACCGTGAGTTGCTCTTGCCTGGCTACCCGGTGTTTAGAAGGGATAGGGCAGGGCGTCAGGGAGGAGGCGTAATCACGTATGTGAAATATGGGATAAATAAATCAGACAAAACCCATAAATTTTCGTGCAGTTCCGAGGCAATCTGGCTGTCTATTAAAGTGCCGAGCTCTCCTAGCCTCGATGTCCTGACAGTTTATCGACCGCCGAGACGGGACAACATGGCCGATGCTCGCCTGCTGGAGGAGCTCGAAAAGTACGCTACGCGGCCGGATATCCTAATCATGGGCGACTTCAACACGCCTCACATTTACTGGAGCTCGACTCATGCAAATAGCTCAGAACAGACCTTCGATAGGAGTTTTCTGAACACGACACTGAAGTTGTTTCTCACCCAACACGTCATGTTACCAACGAGAGTACGCGAAGGCCAACAAGGCAACTGCCTTGATCTTGTCCTTACGAAGTCACAGGACAGCATTGATGAGGTGTCATGCAGACCCCCTGAGGTAAAAGCGACCACGCCGTTCTTCTATGGGATTACTCGCTTTTGTCCATGCCCGAAAAACCCCTGACAGTTAGAAGAAACCTTTGGCGCGGGGATTTCGGCCAAATGAGGGCTGAAATTTCACGCATTGAGTGGGAGTCCGAATTTGTTGGAAGCATACATGAAGATTGGCAACGGTTCCGAGAAATTCTGCACGAGCTGATCACAAACCACTCTCCGCTTTCACGGAAGAGGTTACCTAGCAGATCTCGATGGCTTAAGCAAGCCTTGAAGAATGAAGTGAGTAAAAAACGAAGGCTGTGGAAAAAATCGCTTTCTGACAGGAGCCCCACATCTAGATGCGCGTACGGAATTCAAAGAAATCGAGTCAAGGGCCTTATCCTCAAAACTAGAAGGGAATTCGAACGGGATCTGCTTAATCGCGACGCGGAGAACACTACATTATTTTACGGTTACATAAGGCAGTGCTCGCGGAATAAGGACCCAATACCACTGCTAAAGACTGCTGAAGGTGAACATCTCACTGAAGACAGAGCGAAAGTTGATCCCCTTTCAGAAATTGTTCGGTCTGTTTTTGGTAGCGAAACAGGATTCAACCCTTAGGCCCTTCAACCCTTCGAAGACACCACAATTATGGAGACCGTTCAGTTCACTGAGGGTATGGTTCTGACGGAGTTTCTGAGGCTAAAGGAATCCAAATCACCAGGTCCCGATGAGATTCCGACGGAGATTTTGAAGGAACTCGCCGATGAGTTGGCTAAGCCACTCTCCATGCTTTTCCATACATCCTTCGAGACCGGAAGTCGACGTGGATTAGGCCGCTGTACAAGGGCGGAAGTCGGGTCTCTGCAAACAATTACAGGCCTATCAGCCTCACCTCCATTTGCTGTAAGCTTATGGAGAAGATGATAAAGCAACAATTAATGCAGTTTCTTGAACAAAACCATCTGCTTTCCGATTCCCAGCATGAATTCCGCAAAAGTAGCTCCTGTGTGATAAACTTGCTCTACTGTCTGGAACACTGGACTGGGGCTGTTGATAGAGGAGATATGGTGCATTCCATCTATATCGACTTTAAAAAGGCCTTCGACAGTCTGCCTCACCACCGCCTTCTATACAAACTCAGCCGTGCAGGAGTGCGAGGTAAGCTTCTGATGTGAATTCGAAGCTTTTTACTCCGCCACTCTCAAGCCGTCCACGTCAGTGACCAGCAATCTGCCGAGGTTGCCGTTAGGAGTGGTGTTTCCCAAGGCTCTGTTCTTGGCCCTACAGTGTTTCTCGTACAAGTCAACGACTGCGCAAACGAACTGGATTGTGATGTCGCAATGTTTGCCGATGAAATAAAGATTTGGAGTGCCATACGAAGCAAAGTTGACGAGGCCCGACTGCATACAAATCTGGACCACCTCGAGCAATGGTCGAAAGACTGGCTTCTGCCGTTCAATGTAAACAAGTGTAACTTCCTGCGCGTCGGCAGAACCAGTTCTCCTAACCGCACGGTCTACCGTCTGACTGGCAAACCACTGCAAGAAGTCGACGCCCAGAAGGACTTGGGTGCATGGGTCACAACCTCGCTTAAGCCTTCGCTGCAATGTTCAAAGGTAGCCAAGTCGGCTATGTCCATTCTATACCTTGTCAAACGGGCGTCCTCCTCCTTTGATGAAAACTGCTTCGCCAAGGTATTTCAAACTTTCGTGCGACCGCATCTGGAGTTTTTTATCCAAGCATGAAGACCCTGGACCGCTAAAGACTTGGGCATACTCGAAAAAGTTCAACGGCGAGCAGCGAAACTTGTATCTGGGCGGTGGTCACTACACTACGAAACACGATTAGCTAATCTTGACCTCTTCCCCTTGAGTTACAGACAGCTACGTGGGGACCTGATACAAGCTTTCCGCATCGTGCGCAATCAGGAATGCTGCCTCGCATCTGGAGACTTCTTCGAGTTGGCGACTACGACTAACCTGAGAGGCCATCCACTCAAACTGCGTGGGGCTGGTGCCCGGCTAGACACACGAAAGGTCTTCTCCAACAGAGTGGTTGCAGCTCGGAATGCCTTGCCTGAGGATGTTGTTATGTCCGGATCCGTATATACTTTTAAACGGAAGCTAGATAAACATTGGAGCGCGCACTACAATAACGCCGAACTACGGTCACCTTGACAGCCAACGTTGACACCTTAGTGTTATGAGGATGATGCTAGCAACATTCAAGTAACACATGTATATGTAATTCATTACTTTTGGACCACGTCGCACAGCGCTGCTCTCATTCATCACGATGCCTGTAGACTAAAAATTTCTACTTCTTTCCTATATCTTAGGTGTGCTTCAACTTTCTGCTGCATTTAACCAACTAACCGAGTTCATGTGTCTCTAAATGCTGTTAACGCATGACTTTCTGTGTTCATCTGTATAGTTTTTGTTATTCACCTTGTATTTCTTTCATGTTACTTCCTTTAAATTCTCTCCATATACTTCCTCTGCATGTAACCAATGGGGATTTCAACGGCACACACCTGCTTTCCCTGACATACACTGATACTGATACTGATACCGATAGGGTCCCTCCTCCCCCTCCTCCTCTCCCGCCCCGTTGCTTCTCCTCCTCCTCCTCCTCCTCCTCCTCCTCTTCCTTCTGCACAAGTTAACTATCAGAAAGCCTATCCCTGTTCCAGGTCACTTAGCATTCCAGTACCCGAAAACTATATTCCCACATCCTTTAGGTTACCTGTCCAATCTTCTTTTGCTGACTCCATGTATGTCAATTACTCTAGGCTCACTGGTACTTATTTCCAAAATAGCTTCTATTCCCAGCCTACATATCCTCCTCCAATTTCTTCCCAAATACTGTCGACAATAGCCTTGGAGTTCGAAACAAATTAGATAATATGTTCTGAATGCCAGGTCTAGTATAGACAAGACGGCCAAATTCAGAGCCATTGCTCTCGAAACGACGCCTGATACTAAATCTACTGTTATTACTCCTCCCACGCAGCGACGATTTTCGCGGTTCTTGATGCCATCTCCTCATTTCGACCTCAAGCGGTCTGTCGACGCTCACCTCGAAAATCTCTGTATTCGCCATCCACGAGTAGTTTGGCCTGTCTGCATAGGAACCTTGCCTCTCCTCGTCTAGACTCGAAACGGTCTGTGACCGTTTGCGCCTGTGTTCCTTTCATCTCGCCACTTTGACGTTAATAGCTTCATCCAGTGTATGAATTCTGCTTTGACGATGTCCGTATCCCTTACACACTACCGCGTGCAGGCCAGTCATGTCTGACCCACATACTTACCTGTATACGAATGAATTTTTTTCCGTCCTGACGATGTCCATTTATAATTCGTTGTACATTACCACATGCAGGCCGGTCCTGCCTGCGCTCTTACCCTCTCATGGGCGACAGTTTCTCCCTTCATTAAAGTTAACCCAATCACATTCATTCTGTTTACTAGGTAAAGGGGTTTTTTACTGTCCGCTAATCATTTTTCTGACCGAGCTGCTTATCTATAAAGCATGAACTGAAAACTGGAGATTCTGTCTACTTGTTCTAAAATTCATATTAAAATTTATTTTTACTTGATATGATGGGACTTCAAGGGCTTTTTACATAAAAATTTATTTATGTTGCCGGAAAACGTTATTTTCAAGTTTATGTTGTTTATTTTGGCCTTTTTGATCGAAACAGAATAAATTTATTATTGTACCTCTTGGGCGCTGACAACCTTTCTAAAAAACGGCAAAAACGTATTACAAATTTATCCCTTTCAACTGCGCTTCGACATTGTCAAATATTTCTTATTTTCCTGGCGGGCTGCTTGGGCATCCAAAAGGTGGAATTTTGCCTGCGTGGTACAAAGTGGCTGTTTGGCCTAGGGAAAACAGACACTGCACTTTTTTAATTGTATCCGGAGATTTCGTGAGCAGCAGATTCAAACAGTTTGACTGTAGTCCCTCACGCAGCCTTGTAGGAAACAAATTATTGAGTGAGGGATAAACTAAGCATTGTGTCCAATAGACGTCGGTCACAGACTAGTTCTAGATCTCATGCGCAAAATGAACTCCAGTCAGTGAATTGTGTGTTAAAGACACTTTTAATCAGCACATCAGGCCGAGTAGCAAATATTTTTAGCTTCTCTAACAAACAACCATAAGCTTCGGGATGATTTCGTGGTGGTCGATAGACCTAGGAGACTAACATATTTCAGCCGAGGTGACGCTGCTGACCAGGCGAGTTTACTTGAATATGAGGAGAATGAGGGCTGAGCTTCTACTGGGAATGCACCTGTTGAAGTAATTTTCTGGACGGCGGGGGACACACTGTTTCATTTGGAGAACGAATGCCCCTCCTGGACGGGAGTTTTTTACAAACTGGGTTTGACAATTCTTCTATAAGGTATGGGGTTAGTTGGTGACACGAAGTGTTCAGGGTTGTAGTGGGCGAACGTAGAATTAAAGTATTTTTTAGAGAGGCTGCGATTTTTTTCTGTCAGATTGGGCAAAACAGCACGTAGACCTGTCTTTAAAATAGGTGCCTAATTTGTTCTGCCTGGGGTTACCGGTGAAGTTGATAGGAGTTTAAGTTTACTTCGGGCTATTTATTTTAAGTTCATTCCCTTGGAAAAGAACGGACTGGTAGAGCACAAGAAGCACTAAAGTGATCTCATTCTGTTTTAGCTCAGTCCCTTGTAATATAAGTTATTTATACAATTTTTTTTCGAGGCGCTGTCAACATTTGCCGTCGGCCTAAAATATCTAGGGCTGACCCAGAGAAGTGTTTCTATCTAAGGAGATCCGGTAGGCGTAACTGATTGAAAAATCAAGGGAGTTTTGTGAAAAAACGCAAAGGTTATAAATTTTTGCTAGTTAACCAGACTAAAGCGTTAATTTATTATACGCAATTTAGGGTGGTAAATCTCCAAAAATGTTGATACCTTCAGATGTTTTGTGAACTGCCATTGCTGCCAAAATGATACGATTGAAAACTCGTCTATGAGCTGTTGCGAAGGCATGCATAAAATTCTTTTGTTTCAATTTCCTTGCTAAATAAAGTTTCCTTGACCTGGACACAATTTCCGTCTAACCAAACTTGGATACTGCCCGGAAGAGTAAACAGCGAGATCCGTTACTAAAGTAACGTCATAAGGATAGTATAGGCTCAAATAGTTTTGTGGATTTTTGCATGCGTGCGCGCAAACCTTCGACTTGTTTAACTCGTTGGGATGCGTCTCACGGTATCCGACTGTATGAGCAGTCGACCTTGTTCTCTCGACGTGTCACATAACTTCCAAAATTATGGGTTCTACCAAGTGCTTTAGGACCTTGACTAGAAGTGAAGTTCTCGGGCTTATCAGTGAAATTCACTTGGCAATTTCTGAACTTGCAGGTTTGGTTTGAAGCTCGTGGATCTTGAATCTTCCGCTTGTGCTGCAAGTGAACTGTTTGAGGTGAGATCAGATAGTATTTTGAGGCGTCCAGATACCCTAAAAGCATACGCTAGGGTTTTGATGGATTGTACGTCTTTCGAATTTCTCGTTTTCATACCACAGTTTATTCAACGTTTTCATCGAATTCTATGTCATTGGCGTATAGTAATTCCCCGACTTTTTATTTTTCGAATTCACTATATCCTATTTACGCATAAAAACACTTTATATCGTCAATTAAGCTGGTACATTGCAGGACATATATGTCCTGCTATGTAGCAGCTTAATTGACGACATGAGGCCCAATAACTATTGGCCCCCCGGGTCCCAATTGCTGTAGAACTGAAATTCAGTTTGTGTCGACCTCGAGAACGTCCAGGATTTCGTGCTCGATTTGTTGAAATCTCTCCATTTCGTGGGATAGCATCACAGACAGCCTCTTTTTTCCTACGTAAGTTTTGCGCACTCGGTTTGAGGCCTCGCGCGGATGCATCGCAAATAACACTTGCGTTTCGAACATGTATGCGTCCTGTGGGAATAGGACATCGAAAGCCGTGTTCTTGGAGGACACTTATTTCATCTGTCAGCTCCTTATAGAAGACCACATCAGGTGTGCTTACCGTTACCACAATATGTGGTAACTGGAAGAGTGCAGCTGAGAAACGGCTTCACGATGCGACCCGAAATCGGCCACAGTTCTGTTCATGTCGTACGATACAGAGGTAAACCATCTATGACCAGTTTCAACACTGCCTCCTATTCCTCGGCGACGACACGCTCACTTTCTATTAGCCGGCGCAGTTGTTTCTGCAATCTAAGGTGAATGTACTCGCCACTACCCAGGGGGCTACTTTTGGGTATACGATGCCCCCAAAAGCGTCCTGGGATCTGCGGGCATCTCCGGAACAAGCGACCTAAGTATGTTCAGAAGGTTGCGGAGATGACCGCTAAGTTGGCCTGCAGAGCCCACTCATGCACCCTATTCCGAACGCGTACGTGCCTTGTAAAGTTGTCATTATGGACGACGTTTTCATCGCCGGGAGTGTTTTCCACGCGTGAGACACTGCTTGTGAACGATGTGGACGGGCTCATACTTCCACTGTTGCCGGAAGCCAAGTCTAGTGAACAGTTAGATGACGGCTCCGCGTGGGAATCGTCCGTTCGAGAATGTTTCCTACTCGGAATGAGGAGGTCAGCCTCGTCTATTTCTCTAGCCATTTCCTCGGTATCCTTCTTCACACGCCGTCTAAATGTTCGTTCACTTTCGTGCCTAAACATTTTAAACTTAAAAAACAAAGGTTAGATAGAATGCAAGAGGTATGTAGCAAAAAAAGAAATCGAGCAGTGTAGAGCACACGCCGCACCCACGCAATAATGGCGGGTGTGCGCGCGCCATCAGTACGCGGAAGCATAGGCAACCAAATATTTGCCCGGATAATGCAATCAAGGTGACAAAACACACTGTTTAATCTACCATCTCGAGAAGCCACAAGAGTACATCCGGTCTGCCATAAGATGGTACTAGGGAGGCATAAACCGCCTTCTCTGGAGAACTGCATTGAACGGTTTTGGACCATCGTGTTGGTCGGACCCATATGACCTAGGTAGCGACGTAAGATTTAATAACCTGGAGCAGGTTGATATATTCCTCTGGTATTTGTGGTTAGCCGTTTGGTTCGCCCCATGATACTGCACATTTGTGAGTTACAAATGGCAGTGTTCTGGCGAGCCGCAAACGCGGCAGATTCTAAATTTCGAAAGCAACCACCCATTCGCCAGAACATAGCTGCATTTGCGCAGTGTTTACACTCACGGGACCCACGGTAACAGAAACTGATGCGGAAACTAATCAATCACAAACCAAGTAATCACAGCCCATGCATCCACGGAATTTCCTCAGACGTCATTTTGCCATACTTGAGCAAATTGCGTTAAATCCTTAATTATTTTCGTGAATCATAACCAGATACAGGTGCTTACCAATGCCCACCAGTCCTGCATGTTTGTTGTCAATCCTTCCAAAAGGACAAGTCTCAACATCAAATCAAATGCGATATAAGGACTCAATGTTTTCGTGTTTTTGCAACACTGGGTATGTGTACACCCAGGTCCTGATAGGTCTGAGGACAGCCGAGATATACATACTTTTTTCGCCTTCTTTTAAGTTGATGATGACTTCCCCGCCAGGGAGGACGAGGAGGTGGCAATTCCACGTGCCTCGCTGAACAAGTTCATTAAGGACATTTTACCTGAGGCTCGCCTCACCAACGAGACCCGTGAATTGATCCTCAGTTGCTGCCACCGCTTCATTCATCACTTGTCAACTATGGCTAACATTGCATGTACTCAGGCTAACAAGAAGACAATCAATACCGAACATATCCTCAATGGTTTGTTGTTCCTTCCTACATTTTCGCTTCTTATGAGAACTCTGGTCATTTTTTTTAGTAAAACGTATATGCGCACAAATAAAGGGAACCGGTACTCAACCTTTTATTATACCGACCTTTTGAAAGTATTGAAGCGTCCATTTACCGAAGTATTATTAACGAAGCGCCTTTATATCCAAAAACCATTGCCCCCAGTAACAGATCGATGACTACGGGCTCTTTTCTCTCTACTATTTGACCGAGCGAAATAGTTGTCATAACGATGCGTTTCTGCATTCTCTCTGCCGTGGCGCTCCGACTGGATGTGCTTTCTGGTAAGCGAGGTAAGGGGAAAGGGAGTGAGATGTCGGTTTCCGTCGATTTTCGTAGGGCAACTGTCTTCTACACTTTCATAGATGCATATGAATCTGAAGCATGAAAATCAGCACCCTAATGTCATTCAAAAAACCGTCTGCCCAACTTTAGATGGCAGGTGTTCTTAAATGACGTAATTGCTTGATCGCTCATATCCGATTCGTTGTCTACCGCACCCTCACCATCAATGATAATTGGCGTGAGTCCTGGACGTAGGGGAAAACATGAATCATTTTCAGGGAACACACAGTGGGTGCTAGGACTGCTGAGATGCTGGCTTAAATTTTTATTATGCTTTCAAACAGAAAAAAATCAGGTTAATCGAGTCTGCATATTGATCGGCATAAAACACAGGCCCTATTCTCAATAGAGAGGAAAAGAGCACGAGGGCTTTCATTTGAAAATCTCTCCAACCAAATTTCCCAAAACGCTACTTGGGTATCATTATCTTATCCGATTCTCGGCCCTTGTCCAAATAAACTCCCCAAATCCAGCTGCAGAACTGCTGTACAAAACTCTCATTTTGTGGGAAATTGCGTTTTCTTGAAGTTAACTGCTTGGATGAAGGGGATTTATGGGGTTAAAAGATGCATTCTTGGGAATTTTTGGACGTTGTGTAATGTTCACAGGTGTAGTTCGGTATTTTTATGGACTTCAAAAGGTCCAGCTTGGAAAAAGAGAAGTGTGTTTCAAAAGAAATACGAATAAATAAATTTTCATGCCGAAAACCTACTTTCACGAAAGCCTATTTCCATCCAGAACGCGTGTACAGATGAGCGTACCAGGTTTCTTTTCCACGGCATGATTAGATCTAAAGAACATCCGGAATAAGTGCGAGACCGCATGCTGTTAGTAGTATCTGCCTAATCGATTGGTAGAGTACAAGAAATGATACCTTTATACATTACCCCCGGTATATGCAGTAAAAGTTGTATAGGCACTACAAATAACCAGAAAAGATGCGCAATACACAACTGGCCACTGATTCCTTTGTCTACTTGACACCAATGCCTCGAAAGCTCGCTGGTCAAAATCCGGCGTGCATTCGTGTTAACTATTATGAGGTTATGCCTCATGCTAGTCAATATTTACTTCTACTTACGCAACCTTCACTCGACTTTTTGTCGGCAGAGTCTTTTAGGCCAAATTCTGGCGCCTGTCGTATCTGTGACTGAATAGGTCTTTGACAACCGCAATACGATGCTGGCATGTCTTAGCTACACTCGACCTTACCGTCCCTGGAGGGCAAATTTACAGTGCAAACTGTTTTTCGCTTTTAAAGTACTCGTGCACCGGTAGATTTATGGACGATCATTTGATCCCTAGCAACTGCTTACCCTAGAACCAGTATACCCTGATTATCAGGATAACTCGAATTCTTTTCTGGGCAAGCTTTGCTTTGTGGCTTGTTACGGGCCACCCCTTAAGATTTTTATGAACTCGAGCAAGGCAGGGACGGTTAAACCTGCAAAATCTAATAAAAATTTCACGGCTCCGTGTCCAACTACGAACGGTCATTGCATATTCACATAACAGGCGGTTCAGTTTGAATACAACCTGGGCAACCAAACGAGATACGTTTATAAACATAGGGAAGTGTTTAAAAGAAGGCGAAGGCACGATCACTGGGACAGTAAGTGTATTTGCCTGAGCTTTCGAACTCGACTAGACACGCTGTATTCAAAGCCTGCTTGCCTACGTCTACCCTTTCTCTCCTCGGAATCACCCGCATGTCCGACCAGCGTTCCTTGTCATTTATGTACGCATCCTATTTAGTTACCTTAGACCATGCTCTCACTGAGCTGCTGATTTTGTAAATATGCAATGATCGTTCGCAGTGGGACGTTAGAGCATGAAGTTCATGTCTCCATGAGATTCCGCATGCTTAACACCTTTGTCGTTTTAGAATCCACCCCCAGAAGACAATGTTCCAATTTTATGCTTCTTGCTTTTCCCGAGTCGTTGCAGTAAGTTCAACCCACCCACTACAATTTTTTGCAGAACAACTGCAAACTAACCCAAGGAGGTAGCCATCGGCGAGTTAAAACACCCACCAAAATAGGGGGCTTGTGTTACAACATTTTCGCCTCCACAGCCCTTACAGTCCCTCTTTTTTTACTTATCCTGCCAACTTACTGGCATTTGAGGACGGGGCTAACTCTTGCCATGTTTCACCTCATTTATGATTTGCCCACTTTCAGGTCTCGACGCAATGGGTCTGTCGAGTTACAAGGCAGAGGCCCGTGCTGCCAACGAGGGTGCGAAAGTAGAACTTAAGGACAGGCGGATGCTCAGTGCAAGCTACAAGTTCAAGCAGCACGACAGCGAGCAGCTGGAACAGCTCAGGGAAGAGCAGCAGAAGATTTTTGAGCAGGTAATGTTTTGATCCAATTTTCTGATCTTTCTCTCCTGGCATCCGAGAGCTCCTTTTCTTCCGTCCCCCTCCAATGAAGTATTGAATCGTGTATATGCAGATAAAGTGCTTTTACTACTTGCTCATCACAGCAAAAGTGTTTTTGTAGAGGTTTCTGTTTCTAATTCGATAGTAAACATTCATTGCAGTTGTCCGCACTCAACAGTAAAAGTGACTTGCACAACAACAAGCCTGTATTTTAGATTAGGAGGGGAATTTCGGGCTTTTAAAAGCCACTGGTGACGTCTTGGCTGGTCAATTGACACTTGATCAGAATTCAAAATGTCAACTGTTCGACCCTGTCTACGAGCTGTTTTCCAGTTGTGTTTAGTCCTAGACGTGAAAAAGAAAACATTTCTGCTGAACTCAAGTAACACCCGCCTCAAAATAGAGCAAGGTATCCAGCTCGCACTAGTCCACGCATTTTAAAGGCTTTTCGTGTAGTTAAAGAAAGTTTGTTAACTCGTAACTCGGAAAACGCACCGAAGAAATATATGCCCTTCAAGTATTTATTTAACATTTTTGGGACATATGTTCAAGCTGCAATTTTATGGTTGCTGCAGGAAGCATGACTATAACCAAACAATAATCTGAATTATGATGTGCATGCTGTTGTGCGGATAAAAATGTTGAATGAATGTGCACTTTCATTATTTTACCTGGTCAGTACTAAGCGAAGAATTTCACCTAGCTGGAATTATGAGGTCTCAACGCCTACTTATCTTTTGATTTTATATGTGCCTCGACGACTTCATAGGCCCCGGCTTTACGAGTATGCCCTCATCACCCGTTTGAGAAATAAAAAAACGAAATCCCAAGAAAATATTTAGCCACCTAGTAATTCACGGTAACTAATCCACTGCGTCTCACTTGCATCTCTCGGGAAACTAGAGAATTTAATCTCAGACGTTTCGGAGCCTGAGCGTTTGCCTTCATCAAAGCAGGCATCTTCAGTAGTTACTCATTCTGACTTATACTTCACTACCGGTTGCTACTAAAATGATTTTAGTAACGCGATTTTAAAACTCCAAAGGCCCGCGCCACATTTTTGGAGGAGCAAATGGATAAGAGCGATCTTCTAGCCGCTGCAGCCTCCACCGTGGCCTCCCTCACCAAGTATTCCACTGCTGAGGGTTCTGATATGCCTACTCAAGACGCAGCGCAATCACAGGGCCTCCATGCTGAAGTTCCCACTGCTCCAGCTTCAGCCCTACTCTTGGGGATTACTGCGCTGAGCGAGGAGGATAATTACGACTGAACTCCCTCCCTTTTTGGTTTGCCCTTGTTGCATTAACCCCTTCCGTCTATTGCTCTGTTTTCTTGCGTTTGCCTAGGGGTCCTCCATATTTGGGCCACTCCCAGGGCTGTCTGTACTTACCTAAAGGTCCTTTTAATATAAGCTTCTGACAATGTGTTTTTGTAGCCTAATCTATTTTCTAAACCTTCTCATGGAACTCTTTCTGAGAATGCCCAGATAACCTCTATTTGGGCTAATCCCTCGAAATGGGAGCTGGAAGCTCCCACAATTCAATGTCAGCTACTTTGTCAATCTCCAAGTCTGAGAATCTGCTCAAAATAATCCGGTTTTTCCCTGAGTCTTCGAAAACATGCGGAGTCGAGCTGTCACCACTGGTAAATTTCAGTTAGAACTAGAGTTAGTCTTGGTCAGCCTACCTGTCCCAAGGATTGTCGTTTTATCGCCCACCCTGTAACTGCAGTGTCAGTAGTTCATCCACCTGATGACGTGCATTTTGGTTGACGTGAGATTTTGGTTGGATTGGCAGACTCCAAATGAAAGATCATTGGTCTTATTTAAACACACGGGCCCTCGTTTTACTGTAGTACAACAGGCCTTGTAAGTAGTAACAATTTGAAACATATGGCGAGATTGCTTCCTGTCGACTGCTATGATGAACAAAGCAGGCTATCTGGAAACTCGACGAGGACTACTTTGACCAGCAGTCGAGCGCGGTCTCTATGCGATAAGTCGGTAATGGAACTTGCAGCAACCGCTTCCGCCGAAACAAATTTCGCAGCTCATATCTGGCATCTGCGAGCGCAATTCCACGGCGGTAGCTAGCAAAAGTCGCATGTGGATTACTGCAGTTCCATGCCCATACACTGGGATAAATTTTATTCTAGTAAAAGCTAGGAGTACGCAGACGCTTCGTCCAGAAGTCAGTCTCGAAGGGACGGATAATACTCGAAAAGCCCCTGAAAATCCACAACCCAGGACTCGCTATCTAATCCCAATTGAGGAACACCCATTACCGCAGACATGGGTGGGTAACGGCGCCACTGGGCACTAACCAGTATCCGGCTGTACTTAAGTCTCCATCTCCAAGGGTTGGAGGTGGCAATGGAAATAACGTGTTGCCTGGTGCTTAAGTGTAGTTTTAAAAAGATAATTCTTAAGAGATCAATGTGCTTAGGTTGGTGAAACTACTCCTAGGGATGAGCGCTCTTCAAATAAATGGGCGATGCAAATTGGCGACTTAGAACTCCCAGGAGGGGGGGGAGTCTGTTTGCACGCTCGCCTTCTCCTGCATCCCCTACGACGCAGCGTTTAACTGTCCGTTAGGGGACTTGACCGCTCCCGCCTCATATTGTTTACGCAGGGACCTACTGTTTTCTCACAAAGTTTGTCATCACATCCAAGTACACTGCTCTCAACAGGTCATCAGTAGGCTCGTTCAGGGCGGCCTCCGTCGAAAGGTCTATTTGCAAGGCGCCTTAGTTGCAGCTATCGTGGTCAGCTTTTAAACAAACTCAGAAGCCCAGACAAGTGCAGGTATAGCCCATTGCTTTGTATAAGATGGGTGGAGGGCTGGGGGATCTGACGGTTGCATCATACGCCTCAGACGCGGAGGCTAAAGTGGGTGGTATCACACGAGGGGGAGTCCAAGTCTGGCGAAATATTCAATTATTACCCGGACGGGGCAATTACTGTCCCTGTGAAGTTAAAAAAACAAACATGCAGTGAAGCGAATATGAAATAGCAAAAGCAGGAGTCAGTTTTAAACGAGTATACAGGCTTGTACGCACGTCATTCAGACATCTTAGATAACAAAAACTGGAATTTCAGTCACAAAGCACGCTTCAGCACCGGAGACCCCAAACCACTAGTACAGTAGGTGGGCCAACTCATGAAGTGTTAAGCGAAATCCCGAAATGCGTTCTCGTTTCGAAAAGATTAATTAAGTAGCGTTGTAAAACTAATCATCGTGCGGCATAAGTCTATAATAATTCAGCTATCTCAGGAGGCCGGCTTTTGAGCGAGCTTCCTTCCGGCTGCGTACAAAAACCATACTCTGTAAAAGATGACTTCTTAAGTAGCGTGAATTTTTATCAATATTTTTCGATGCCTTTGTAATTCAATTATATTGCATGGAAAACATGCATAAAAATATCCATTCTTTTACATATTCGGTAGGAAATTACGTCTTCCAATCTTATAATCGAAGAAAGGATATAATTCAGTCTTTAAAAGGTCTCCAATTGTGGGATTTTTTTAACACCGCGAAATTGCCGTTCATAAAACGTCATGTCTCGACATTTACCAATGTGGCTTGTAAAGTTACCTGTATGGGTCAAATTCACTGTTGAATTTTATGAACCCCATATGGTCTCCTCTTAATACCGTAGAGTAATGTATGGTTTTCTGTACGCGGAAAATATACAGCTTGTAGTGTGGAAACCCTGAATGCAAGTGCAACGGCAGGTCGGGTTCAAAATTATTCGGGAATTGGAAAAATTGTTGAAAATCGAATTACACCCTTTCTTCGAGTATAAAATTGAAAGAAGATGTAATTTTCTACCGGATGAACAAAAAAGTGCATATTTTCCATGAAATATAATTGAATATTTAGGGTTATCGAAAGTCAACGGGGAAAAAATCATGCTACTTAAGCAGTCGTTTTTTACAGAGTACGGGTTTTTTATGTTGCCGGAAAGAAGTTCGTTCAAAAACCGGCACCTCAGGGTAACTGAATTATTATAGAATAATGTTACGCAATCATTAATTTTAAAACCCTAGTTAATTAATCTTTTCGAAATGAAAACGCATTTCGAAATTTCGGCTAATCTTTCATGAGTTAGCCCCCTACTGTATATGTCCCTTTTGGGGCAGGCAACGATTTTAAGTACTGCATATAATCGGAGTGTTCCTCTCCTACTCACGATGCGTAAGCCTGCTGAGAAACGGTGGTCGACACCTCGAGGACTCCCAAATCACAAGTCAGGGAAGAACAAAGTTATTGTACAGGCTTTACTGTGGCAAAAAGTGTACACTCGGCCCAGCCGGCATGCGGAGGCGGCACGTCTTTGAGGATTTAACCCCTGTCCGAAGCGCGGAAGTGCAGCTCGGTTTTGTCTGCTCCAAGCCACCCAGCAACGTCAATTGGCCTCGGCCTGTCGCCACGCCTGCGACAGGCCACACGCGGCTAAAGTCATCAATTGAAAGGGGGTGTGAATCGGTCTGCAGACGGCATTAATAAGCGACCGCGTCGGCGACTACGAGTGCGGACTGCCACAAACTAACGGATAGTCTTTGTCAGACAGGTTTAAACGCCACAAGAGAACTAGGAAAAGATCAAATCCCTATTCTGTCTGTCGCAAATGGAGTGTTAGACATTGGCCTTGAATTAAGCAGATTACAGCGAGAGGGCATTCATCCATCCTGATGACCGACATCCTCGAAGTGGTCATATATATATGGAAGATATTGTGGTGAGGTTAGACAGGCTTCTGACAGAAATGAAAAAATGTCATCTTCGAGCTGACTTGGCTATCAGTGAAACCCATTGATTCGTCGCTAGCAGGGCTCCACTGTCCTCAAAATGGACGGATCAGGCGCCCCATTCAGTCCAGTGTCATAATTGAAAGTCAGTCCTACCTAAACCATGTGGCTGAGATAAGCTAGAGGGTGCAAGTAATGACAAACTCACAAACCTGGCGGGCAAGCCTAACACTGAGTGGGCAATATCTTTATCTGGCTTACAAGGAAAATCCCTAATGCACGGGATGTAGACAATTCCGGGCTATGGAAGTCATGAATCAAATACGTGGTCACTAATCTTGATGCAATGGGGCCAGAAAAAATAGACTTATTCCCGGACCATTTCGAATTTGAAAAGGCAGAAAACAGTGCCCCGAGATGCATTCGTCACGTGTGCCAGATATTAGGCATCGCATAGCCCTTCATGAATTGGGTGATATGACAGTTCGACCGTTGACTCCGATGATGTTCACCCTGTGCTTCACAGCAGGGTGGACGAAGAGAGGTTGACTTGCGCGCGAATTAGTTTACAGTCATAATAGACTGGTGCTGCATTTACTGCGCTCTCTCCTCCCTCAACTGTCTAGGCCCGGTGTAAAGGCAGAGTCGAGATGACTGCAGGCTGGATCGGGCGTAATGGCTGATAAAACTAAACAACGCGTCTAGGCATGCCACCCACACCTGGTCCCCGCAGGATGCAGAAGGTTTTCGCGCAGACAACAAATAGCACAACTCGGATCTCAACTGCGTGGGAGTCCCACAGAAACCCAATTAAGAAGGAGCCGCTGCAGCCTGAGCGGAGGACCGAGTTATCCCGTTAGGTGGCAGCCTTCCAAACCATGGCGTTTTGCGCATTGTGATAGATTCATGCGCGTTGGATTATTGGGGGTGAGGAACATGCACCGAATGCCGTGTTGACCAAGTCCCTAGAGCCAACTTCACTCCTTCGCTTTCCTGTGCACTGGTCGATTTTCGCAGCCGGCTAGTCAGTTGATTGGGCCCAAGTGACTGACTGAGCTAAACGGCCCATCTACGCGCGCTATACACGACCCGTACCCCACACAACACGCCATGTTTAAAACAAAGGGGTAATCGGCTTGGATTTCACACATGTCAGAGTGCCATAGTGGCATGGTTAAGGAGGGGCCATTAAGCCGGAATCTTAATCCATCAGTCGGTCGCTCCACAGAAACTGCGAGGTCTGAGTTGAGTCGATCGTCCAAGCCGGTCTAGTAACTGATGCTGAGATCAGACGCTGTGACTGACAAAGCTAAACAGCTCGTCAACGCATGCCACACACGATCTGCCCCCTCCTCTCCCCCCACGCACCATGATATCTCAAAAGGGGGGTTAGCCACTCGAATCTCACATGCGTTCGAGTGTCACAGGAGCCACATGAAGATGGAGCTGAGGAACGTGCTTCCCAGTTACGCAGTAGATTCAGATCCCGTGCGCGTAGTGGGTGATACGGCAGGGGCTCG